CGTCGATGCAGCTCTTCTCGCGACCGGTGCAGGTTTTGGGGCAGTTCTCCGAAACCACGAAGGTCGTTTTGTCGCGGCTCACAATGGCAGAATAGCCAACATTACAGACCCTCTCATGGCGGAAGCTATAGCGGTGAAGGAAGCGCTTACTTGGTTAAAACACCACAACTGGAATAATGTAGTTTTAGAAACCGACTGTTTAAATTTATCTGTTGCTTTTAATTCTCGTTGTCTTGATTTATCGTATGTCGATTCAATTATAAAGCAGTGTCAACTGCTTGCCTGTGACATTGGGAACGTTCGAGTTCACCATGTCAAGCGGTCAGCGAATCACGTGGCTCATGTGCTTGCACGGGCAACGGTTTCTGGATCTGTCCTAGGGTCGTGGGATACATACCCACCCCAGTGTATTTCTGATCTTTTGAATTAATCTACTGGTTCCGGTTTGTTTCAAAAAAAAAAGATGAGTTTTAGTAGATGAATATGGGTGAGATTTCACATGAGATATCCTATTTCACATGAGTAATTTTGTAGTGCTTTCTAATATAATCATAGATTCAATTGAATGGCAATATAAACAAGAAAACTACTTATGAGTAACCCATTGCAAATAAGCAACAAGCAATATTTGGAAAGAGGGACTATGAGTTGGGTGTCCATAGTAGGCTAGTATTGATGCAAGAGGAGTCTAACGATTGCAAAGCATGTCATATGATACTAGAGATAACGGGAGATGCAATAATAGTGTCAATGATATTAGAGGTGTTAAAAGGACGAGCTCGATCGGACAACTATCCGAGCTGACCCGTCACGAGTCAAATGAGACCACTCCTATGAAAGAGTGTGGATTTATTTGGCCATTCGATTTATGTTAATCTTTTGGATCATGTTCGTTTGATTAATTTAATTTTTTGAAATTTAAAAAAATAATTGACATTGAATTAATTGTAAATTTAATGAATTATAGTTTTGCCCCAAGTTATTAGTTATGATAAGATCACAATCATTGATTTGTCAAGATATGTCCACATAAATTGTGTGCATTTATGGACCATAGATGATGCAAAATCAATGGATAGATGTTGATCCCAAATTTGTAGCTAATTTTCAAAATTTCAAGCACACAGGGACAACTTAATAAACAATAATAAACAATAATTAACTAAGAGCAAATCAGTAAATTAGGAGTCCAATAATTAATTCCAAAAATACGTTGCATAACACACAAAAACGGGTTACAAACTACACCACAACGAATTGCACAACCAACACACGCGAGCATAGGCTTGCTCCCTAGCAGGTTCAATATAGACCACGTTGAGTAGTCTCGATGGAACCACGGGTCTATTGAACCCGTTGAAATGTCCAGTGATCTTACCACCAGCTGAACGAATAACAAATAAAATCGAAATACGTTGCACAATCCACAACATTAAATTGCACAACTAACACCACTGGGTTGCACAACTAACACAACCGACCCCGTGATCTAGCCACCAACTGGACGGAGAACAAATAAAATCAAAATACATTGCACAATCCAAACACACGGGTTGCATAATCCACAATAACGGATTGCACAATCCACAACAACGGATTGCACAATCCACAACAACAGATTGCACAACTCACACCACTAAGTTGCACAACTAACACAACCGACCTTGTGATCTTGCCACCAGTTGGACAAAGAACAAATAAGGGTGTGTTTGGAAACCCGGAAAATGACTTCTGGAAGTCATTTTCCGGGGTTTTGGTGTTTGGTTACATTGGAAAATGACTGGTCAAAGGAAAATGGGGTGGAAGTCAATGGAAAAGGAAGGCAATTTTATGGAAAATGACTTCCCCTTTTTTTTGGGGGAAGTCATTTTCCAACTTTTACACCAACATCATCAACACCATACCACCACCACCACCACTACCAACATACCACCGTCGCCGCCATCTCCACCATACCACCGCCACCACCACCACCATACCACCGTTGTCACACCACCACCATCACACCACCGCCGCCGCCACCACTACCACCATACCACCGCAACCACCGTCGCCACCACTACCGTCGCCGCCACTACCACCATACCACCGCAACCACCGTCGCCACCACTACCGTCGCCGCCACTACCACCATACCACCGCAACCACCGTCGCCGCCATCACCACCATACCACCGCCCCACCACCACCATACCATCGCACCCACCGCCGCCGCCACCACCACCATACCACCGCAACCACCGCCGCCGCCACCACCACCATACCACCGCCGCCACCACCACACCACCGCCACCGCCACCACCGCCACCACCACTACCATACCACCGCAACCACCGTCGCCGCCACCACCACCATACCACCGCAACCACTGTCGCCGCCACCACTACCGTCATACCACCGCCGCCGCCACCACCACCATACCACCGCCACCACTACCACACCACCGCCGCCACCGCCACCACCACCATACCACCACCACCACCACCACACCACCGCCGCCACCACCACCATACCACCGCAACCACCACCACCACCATACCACCGCAACCACCGTCGCCGCCACCACTACCACCATACCACCGCCGCCGCCGCCACCACCATACCACCGTCGCCGCCACCACCACCACCACCACACCATCGTCATACTACCACCACCATCACACCACCACCAATTATTATTATTATTATTATTATTATTATTATTATTATTATATAACGAATAACACAACTACCACTACACCACCACCACCACCATAATATTTTTGATATATTATTAGTTTTTTTTTTTTTTGTTGAAAAACTTAGCTATTTTTTATTATATTTAAAATTAATATTATATTATTATATATTATTATACATGTTGTAATATTCTAAATAAAATAATTAAAATGTTTAATTATACAATTCTACTCATTTTCCAGAAAATGAACCAAACACACAAAAACAGTTTTCCAGAATGCAACCAAACACCGTAAAGGAAAATGTTTTCCGAAAAATGACTCATTTTCCAGAAAACATTTTCCAGAAGTCATTTTCCTGGTTTCCAAACGGACCCTAAAATTGAAATACGTTGTACAACCCCACACACTGGTTGCACAATCCACAACAACAGATTGGCACAACCATATTATCTAGAATGCATATATATATATAGCTCAAAGCCTCCCTAGCTCCCATGGCTTCGGGTTCCCGCACGGAGAATAGGCCATCAATATAGCTCATAACCACCCCAATCACTATGCCCCTGTCGTCTCTAACAACCCAACCAAATCTCATTCTCCTATTCGCAAAGTCCATGGCGACATCAATATTCACTTTGATAAAATGTGGGGCGTTATCTTTTGAAGTTAAGTGTTATGATTTAGATTTAAGAAAAGTAGGGTGTTACAGCCACCCCTGTAAGAGGGTGAAACTCTCACACTGCAACTGTAAGGGCTCGATCATGTGTCCTTGCCTACAATCAGCCACAAGAACAAATTGAGCTACCATGCGGGCTGATTGAGTGTTCTTTATTCTGCTGAAAGTCTGTAGATATATATTGTACAAGGCATTAGTTATAGACTAGTGTATAACTCTAAGTTTTGAAAAGGGAAACTTTTGAACTTTCTTTCCATCTAGCATTGAGCACCAACAGACATTGTAATTCTTCAGTATGAATTATTATTTTTATTTTTCTTTAAAATTATCAACTGCTTTTAATTTGTTTAGTTTTGTGTTGGTATATGATTCATTCATACCATCACAACATAGAGTTCCTCTGAACAACTTATGACATTTTTCGACTTGACACAAAGGAAGAAAGACATCACGCCATTTGAGTTTTGTAATTCTTACCATATTAGGTCTTCTAATTTCAAAAGACTTATGAGTAGATCGATGGTCGACGTTCTTGCAATGTGGAAATGGATGCTTGTGATTTCATGAGATATAGAAATAAGATTATGTATGGTAAAGTAATGGGCTGACATTTTCTTCTTGGGGAAGTGCTAGATTCTTAAGCACTACTGAACTTCCAACGCCCTATTTATTATTGTTTTTTTGTATTTTTCGTAAGTGGTCCAGCTTGCCCTTGTAGAGGAATCCTTTGAAGCCCACGTTAGTGATTATACAAAAATTATTCATGGCTATGCAAAGCAAAATCTTGTCCGAGAAGCTAAAAATATGATTTTGACGATGAAAATACATTTGAAGCAAGGTTGATAATCTTAAGCGAGTAGAAAATACATTTGAAGAATTAATGCTGCTTGGAGAACCGTTGGACAGAAGATCCTACGGGTCAATGATTATGGTCTATATTAGAACGAGAGAACTTATTAAAGCAGAGGGCTTGCTTAGAGTAATGAACGATCAAGAGATTTATGCTGAAAGAGAAGTTTATAAAGCACCGCTAAGAGCTTACTCCATGGTTGGCGAGGAGGTCAAAGGGTTTTCAATGCAATCCAATTAGCGGGCATCATCCCTAATGCCAAGATTTGTGGGCTAGTTGTAAATACTTATCTCGTGGCAGGCCAACTCCAACGAAACCCTCTTGCTGCAACAAATTGGCCTAATTAATCTCTTAAGACACAACCAAAACATACATGAAGACTTGTTAGAAGCTATTAATGGAGTTTCCTATCTTCTCAATAAGAGAGATGTAGTCCTTGTGAGGGAGAAAGAGCAACAGTGTGAGAGTAGATCTTATTGCTGGCAAGTCCTTGTTAGCTTCATGTTTCATGAGTGGTCAATCAAACAAGACAACCAATATGGTTGAGTGATCTCTTTAGCCACCCTAAGGTTCAGGGCTCGACCCTGCTTCTAAAAGAACCTTTTGTCTATATTACTGTACAAGCAGCTCAATTGGTACTCAAGTGGCAGATTGAGGGCGCACGAGCAACTCAATTGGTACTCAGGTGGCAGACTGAGGGCAAGAAATCATACCATGACATGTTGGGTTTTGGCCTGTCAACTTCAATTGTAACATAATGTTCTAAAGTTTCAACCACCTCAACCTGAAAGATCTCTTCACAACAAGTTTCGGGGCTTTGAAATTTATATAGAAATGAGAATCATGAAGGACTCCCCAATAACACCCTTTTCTTATAGGAGGAACATACCAAAAACACAAAACTATACAAACAAATTCGAGCAAAACGCTTTTGTCAAACTATAGCAACAACTACTTGAAATTAAGTCGCACAATGAAAGAAAACGTCATCACCTTCTTTTTGTGCTACCCTTGATTTATATTCTCTCAATACAACCTCCACTTCTTCAATCACCCCAAGCCTTCGGAACCAACGAGCTAGGATGTTACAAGCTTCTTTCCCAAGCGTAATGCCTCCCTTCTCCAAATCTATTAAAATGTCTAATGCCTTGTTTAGGTCATTCTCTCTTTCATATGCAGTTAATAGCAATGCCACACATTTGTCGTTTGGTTCAATACCAACTGTCCTCATATTTTCAAAAGCAATACAAGCATCGGAGAGTTGGCCTGCCACGAGATAAGCATTTACAACTAGCCCACAAATCTTGGCATCAGGGATTATGCCCGCTAATTGGAGTGCATCGAAAACCCTTTGAGCTCCTTTATAGTCGCCAACCATGGAGTACGCTCTCAGCAGTGCTTTATAAACTTCTCTTCCAGCATAAATCTCTTGGTCGTCCATTACTCTAAGCAAGCCCTCAGCTTTAATAAGTTCTCCCGCTCTAATATAGGCCATAATCATTGACCCGTAGGATCTTCCGTCCAACGGTCCTCCAAGCAGCATCAACTCTTCAAATGTATCTTCTGCCAACTTAAGATTCCCAACCTTGCTGTACATGTGAATTAAAACTGTAAACAGCGCCTGGTCACATATGAAAGCTCTATTTTTCATCGTCAAAACCATATTTTCAGCTTCTTGAACCATATTTTGCTTTGCATAGCCATGAATAATTTTGGTATAATCACGAACATTGGCTTCAAAGGATTCCTCTACAAGGGCAAGCTGGGCCACCTAAGAAAAATACAAAAAAAAAAAAAAAAAAAACAATAATAAATAAGTCGTTGAAAGTTCAGTAGTGCTTATAAGAATCTAGCACTTCCCCAAGAAGAAAATGGTAGCCCGCTACTCTCCCATGCATAGTCTTATTCCTATATCTCATGAAATCACAAGCATCTATTTCCACATTGCAAGAAAAATGTTGACCATTCATTTACTCATAAGTCTTTTAAATATAGAATACCTAATATGGTAAGAATTACAAAACTCAAATGGCATGATGCCTTTGTTCCTTTGTGTCAAGTCAAAAAATGTTATAAGTCGTTTAAAGGAACTCTATCTTGTGATGGCATGGATGAATCATATACCAACACAAAACTAAACAAATTAAAAGTAGATGATAATTTTAAAGAAAAATAACAATTCATACTGAAGAATTTCAATGTCTATTGGTGCTCAATGTTGGATGGAAAGACAGTTCTAAAGTTCCCCTTTTCATAACTCAAAGAGTTTGAGTTATACACTAGTCTACCTAGTGTTAGAAAACAAGGTTTCACTAATGCCTTGTACAGTTTATATCTACAGACTTTGGGCAGAATAAAGAACACTCAATCAACCTGCATGGTAACTCAATTGGTTCCTGTGGCTGATTGTATGCAAGGACACAAGATCGAGCCCTTGCAGTCGCAGTGTAGAAGTTTCACCCTCTTGCGGGGAGTGGCTCCTTGTGGTCCGTTGTGGACACAAGGCATTAATACTCCCGCCGTGATTTACCCATCCATAATCCTATCAGATTCAGGTGTGCCCGCCATTGGACTAGGGATTTTGCATTCTTTGAGGGCAAAGAACAATCAATCAATCAATTTATGGTATCAAAACCCACATTCAATGCAAAAGAACCAAAAGTCATTCAAAGAACAAGTAACACATAACAAAAACCAAACAAAAGAAAATCTTTATACCTCAAAATACAATGGATTATTCAGCACATCCAATTCTTTAAGAACTGCCAACCAATCAGCTCTCTTGGGCTTCATACTCCTTACCCAGGCACCCAACAGCACTGATACACTACCCTTTTCAGGTGAATAACAAATAAGTTGTTTCATTAAGGCCTTACATCTTTTTGTCATCTTTACTGGAAGCTGAGAAATGGCTTGTTTTTGTTCCTTTGTAATATCAGAACCTATTTCAACCCAACGGAACCTGGGTTTCTCCATCATTTTCACTTCTTCTACGCGGCTGATAGCTAATACCTGTTGCTGCAAATTGAATTCTTTGTGCAAGTTATGTGTTTCCCGTAATGGGTTGCTGCACTGCAATCTCCAGCAGAAATGGTGTAATTCTAACACTAAATTCGAATAAGGAACCAAATAACCAGCCGTGAAAGTCATGCCTATCCAAGAAAGTATGGAAGATTTTAGGGCTAAACCCAAGCTGAGAAATAGCAAGAACGCAAACGAGTAGACTTAGGTCCAAATGTTCATAATTTAGGGTATGTTTAGAAAGCAGGAAAATGATTTCTGAAAAAATAGTTTTTAAAATTTTCCTTTCCCGTGTTTGGTTGCATTCTGAAAAATATAAGAATTGATGGAAATTGGGGAATCGAACATAACGACAGCAGCGAAGGCAACCATGTTTTGAGTGTTGGCTGAAAATTACTTACGCCAAAATTTGGTGTAAGTCAATTTCTGCAAAAGTGCCTACATTTTCCCCAGTCAACACAATATGTTTTCCGTTGACTGGATTTTCCTACTGTATCCCAACACTGAAAACATTTTACGAAATCATTTTCTTACATTCCGAACGGACCCTTAATGTCCAATCAATTAGAGCTTCTCGGTCAAAATAGCAGTTCAACTTTTCAATACAAAATTTGCTTCTAACAGTCCACCCAATGTATTTAGAGATTATAGGGAATGGTATGAACATAACATTATATAACTTTCTGATGCCTAATTTACAGAGAACAGCGTTTCTTCTAGTTGACATACTCGGAAACAGCAAGTAAAAACGAGGAAATATACAAACACACAAAAATAGAAGAACAAATTTCAGTTAAGGTATAACGTTATATATAGTCATGGAGTCATGCAAAGCAGATGAACCATTTCTACTCGAGGATGCTCAAAACAAAGACAAGACACAAGAGAAACCACGGAATTATAATTTCTTTGAGCCATGTACCTTTCAGAGCCATTGCTGTTGTGCGTGAACACGAAGCCTTCCTAATCAAATCAGACAAAAAAAAAAAAAAAAAAAAAAAAAAAAAACAGCAAATCAACGTCAAACAAAAATCGAATCACTTGCAGATCTACTGCAGAACGCAATAAAATGCAGTGGCGGAGAGAGTGGACGGACCTGGAGGAAGACGAAGAAGAGGGGATTAGACTGCGGCTACTGCAGACTAGAAAGAAGTCCGAGGGTTCTGCTCCGTGGTGCTTGAAATGACTAAACTGGCCTTCGCTTAAAATATTTGGGCCTGTATTTTATCCTGTGTCATAAATCGGCCGGGCTTTCTGCAGAAAATGGTTTGTGGGAGACTTGGAAGGCAAATTATATTATGCACTGCGGTGCATAATCGATTATGCACCGCGCGTCTTTTTTTTAAAATAAAAATTAACCGTGTTTATTTCCGCCGTTTCGCACCCTTTTGCAAAAAGTAACTCTGTTATTCAGTGTCATTTTGTATACACTGCAGTTTCAGTTGAACACAACTACAGTTTCATTTCGATATAACTATAGTTTCATTCGATATTTATTAACTCAAATATGTGAAAATGTTATTTAATTTTATTTTATATATACTATAGTTTTATTAAAACGCAACTACATGATCATTTTGATATAATTACAGCTTCATTGTACAATATACACTCAAATATGTGAAATGTTATTCAGTTTCAGTTTATATACACTGCAGTTTCATTTCACTATAACTACAGTATCATTTTGATATAACTGCAGTGTCGGTTTGGATATACTGTAGTGTCAGTTGGTGTTTAATACACCAAACAAACGAACTCCGTTAACTCTAACGGCGGGCCGTTTCTTTACTTAAAGAAACGGCGTCGTATATGGGCCGCGGTGCATAATCGATTATGCACCGCGGTCTATAATATAACAACTGATTCAATACACAGAATTTAATTTTATAATGTATAGAATTCATGTTCATAATATATATACACATAAATACGATATAATGAAAATGAATTCTGTGTATTATGTTAAGTGTTTATGTGTACTCAATTATATAATACAGAGAATTCATGTTCATTATATCGTGTTTATGTGTATGTATATTATGAATATGAATTATGTGCATTGGACCAAGGTCCACAGTGCATTGTGGACTCTAGTCCACGATATACCGATTGTCTACGGCAAATTATACTGTGGATCATGGTCCAAAATGGTACCGTTTTTTTAATGAAAAGAAAAGGCACTTATTTCGCGTCGTTCCGTAGTTCAGTTTGTATAACATATTCAGTTTCATTTCATATACATTGTAGTTTCATTTTAGTACAACTAAAGTTTTATTTTGTTTCAACTACAGTTTCATTCGACATTATACATACAATAGTCTTATTACAATGAGACGTGTTATTGAATTTGATTTTATACCCACTTTAGTCTTATTACAACACCAATGAATTATAACTCTAATTCAACTACGGTTTCATTGGACAATATACACTCAAATATGTGAAACTGTTATTCAGTTTCATTTTATATACATTGTAGTTTATTACAACACAACTACAGTATCATTTCGATATAACTACAGTTTCATTAATTAATTTTACAATATACAATCAATATGTGAGACATATTATTCAGTTTCTTTTTATACATACTGTAGTTTTATTTCAGCAAAACTAAAATATCATTTCTATTCAACTACAGTTCTATTGTGAAACTGTTATTCAGTTTCATTTTATATACACTGTAATTTCATTACAACACAACTACAGTATCATTTCGATATAACTACAGTTTCATTTGATAATATACTATCAATATGTGAGACATGTTATTCAATTTCTTTTTATACATATTGTAGTTTCATTTCAGCAAAACTAAAGTATCAATTTATATTCAACTACATTCTATTTGACAATATACATTCAATATGTGAGACATGTTATTCAGTTTCATTTTACACATACTACAGTTTCATTTCAATACAACTAAAGTATCATTTCAATCAAATTACAGTTTCATTTGATAATATAAACACACTATGCGAGACAATTCATTATAGATACATTGTAGTTTCATTTTTTTATGAACACATCACACATGCACAAAAAATACAGGATTTGTTACAAAGAAACGGCGCCGTTTTCAGACCATGGTCCACAGTATAACAACCGTTAATCTACAAGACAATTTATATCATGAATCAAGGTTCACATAGCATTATGGACCCTGAATCGAAACGAAGAGGTACAAAATTCATACTCGTAAGGTACAAAATTTCATAACATAAAACACAAAAAATCACAACACATGATACATACACATGTTATATATTTACTTAATTTTAAAAAATATTAATTAGGTACATAATTTGTGTTTATAGGCATAGAATTTCACAACACAAGACATAGAAATTCATAAGACATAATTACTAATTTGTTTCAAGTACAAAATTCATACTCTTTAATATACAGAATTTCATAACACGTACAAGATATAAAAACTCAAAATATAAAATACATACACATACACCAGGATTCGCAGTGCAATATGAACCCTAATTCATGGTATAAGGATTGAATTGAATCTACGAGTCATCCAAGACCAAAAGGGTTCCATCCACTAAACTCGATCAATAATTGCCAAAAGACCTTAATTTTAACATTTCTCTCTTCTCATGAACAACACTCCTACAAGTAAGAAAACTTGTTCTCCATCATACACTTCTTTGGAAGGTCTCAATGTACATTTACAACATAATAATATAGTGTATACACGTTGTTTGGTTTGACTTAATTAAAAAAGGATTTGTGAATAATCTTTTACAGTTATGTGAAGAAATGTATAGTAAGAATATATCTTGAATAGTTGTTGCATAGTCATCAATATCACATCATGAGTTGCTTTGATACTAATTGATGTCAAAATCAAATGCTTACTATAATATTAAAAATTATAACTAATATAGTTAATGTGTAACTTTATTTTATTATATTTACATAACAGTTAGCGTCATGTTTCGATGATAGGATCTTGAATTTCATCGACTATCCAAACTTCTCCCAACATACTTAGCTTTAGATATAAAATATAGTTTGCATACTATATTGATGTATTATATATAGTTGGTTGTTTAATTTGTCATATCAAATTAAAGACCCCATAATTGAACATTTAATCGATCACGTTTCATCAATTTTTTACTACCCAAATAAATATAGTACTCCAAAAAAAAAAAAAAAAAAAAAAAAAAAAGCATGGATGAGTCGCACTATTTGGCATTTTCTCTTGAATTTCTATATTCCCATCATCATATATGCTGAAAACCAAAAGAAATCTGGTATATCCATATCCTGTTCCCTTTCTTTTGATAAAGGATATGGAATAAAGAAATTAATCAACCAGGACAATACATTAAAATCCAACAACAGCTATATATATATATATATATATATATATATATATATATATATATATATATATATATATATATATATATATATATATATATATATATATATATGTGTGTGTGTGTGTGTGTGTGTGTGTGTGTGTGTGTGTGTGTGTGTGTGTGTGTGTGTGTGTTGCTATCTTGGTTTTTATTATCATTACAAATATGAAATTGGAGTTTAATAGACTAATAGACTGCACTATGGAATGCATGAGTGAAGCTATGGTCTACCATTGAAAGGACACATGGGCAATTATATATCTCATCTCCAACCTTTTTCAGAGAAAATGATAAGACTATATATGCATGCTTGATTGATAAGATATTAAAATTTTTTTTAGTGATTCGAGATTTGCCAAACTAATTCTAAGTTTACAGGACCCCGCCTCTAAAGTCACTATATATAGAAGTATATTGCTCGAACCACACAATCAGTCCACCAGTCAAACTCTAGTCGATCTTAATGAGCATACAAAGGATTCAATCCGCACATTCTCTCATATTGAATTGGATATTTTTCCCATTCATATTTTCAATGAGCCACTATACTAAGTCTCAGGAGAAATATTGATTTCTTTCATTGTTTTATGTTAAAGAATGTTAAAGAATGTGAAAAGGCCATTTATATTTTCAAAATGGTCATGATATAATTAGTGATAAACGATTGAAATTCTACCTAAAAATTTGTATTATATGAGGACTAATCAAATCAAAAATAGGTCGCTAGAAATAGGTTTATATATATAGGGAATTAAATGCCAATAGAAAATTCATGCAAAAAGTGAAAAAGCTTTTATTGGTTAAGAAAAGAATGAAGGGATATAGTGAATTGAACACTAGATTTGAAAGAAAGTAATAATATAATATTGTGTTAAGGTTTTGAAATCCATGAAAACCTCTATCTTATCTTTGGAACAATTAGGCTAAGTCACTTGTAAGGTATAATTGGAGGTGCAATATGATGCATATTCATTGTGAAGCAAAGTTTTATATATATATATATATATATATATATATATATATATATTGGTTGGCTTTGCAATTTAATCACCTAAATTTAGATTTACACATCTTCAAGATTTCCTCAAGAGATTTCTTGTCTTTTCACTAAAAAAAAAAAACAACAACAACAACAACAAAACACTTATAGATATAATAATGAATTAAATAATTATGAATTTCAACAAAATTTACCTTCAGAAATCTATTGATCTATTGATAAATTAAATACCTATGAATTTCAATAATTTACCCACAATTTTTTTTCATTGGTAAATTTGATTTTTCATGTAACTTTTTGCAAGTCAATGGACTTGTTAATTGTAAATTCATGTAATTATTTTTGTGTTTCCTCTCAAGAAAAATTATATATGAACTTCTATGGAGTAAAACTTTAGTCATATATATGGAGTAAAACTTTAGTCATATATATGTCGTGATTTTATTGATAAAAGAGATCAGATCGATAAAAGTAATTTTTTTTTTGAATAAATCAAAATATATCATGTTAACATGAAGTTAAAAACAAATGTGTAGAATCACTCTTCTTTCTTATTAAATGTATAAAGTTTCTTTCATCAAGAGACTAGTTAGGTCCACACACAATAGTCTTATTCGTACTGAATAGGACATCAAGATTCATGCATGCCATCTTATTCAATTCTATCTCATGAGTTATACACCAATTATGCGAAGCCTGCATTGGGCAATTCTTGGCTTCAAAACTTACTTTTATGGGACAAAGATAGGATTTCAAAGCTTGCATTTACAGGATAGAAGTT